TGCTGGAGTTGATTAACAGTGCCACCAGCTGGTCAGCTGGAAGAGGGCCAGTTTGTTAGAGGGTGTTGGATGTAGCCCTGCTGGTCTAAGGACATAGGCAGACAAGGTTCTTTAGGTAAATCCAGTAACTTTTATTAGACCAATTAAAATATTTGGAAAAATTCTTCTTTGCAAGCTTCCAGGTACAAACTCTTCTTCAGGCAAGGGAAGCGTGTATAGTTGTTCTGTGCGCTTCCTGGATGGGATAGAAGCCAGAAGATAGTATGCAAGAATGCCAGCCAGTGAAAATGCAAGTGTGTGTGGCAGACAACAGGCGAGAAACAGGGGCGGGAGGAAGGAAGGGAAATAATGACCTGATGATAAAAAGTAGCTGCTAAATTATGGAGAGGTTACCTGGGATATCAGATTTTAGGCAGGTTATAATGTACCATAAATCCAATGTCTATATTTAGTTCATGATTTTTTTTGTATCCAGTAAGTCAGGGTTTTCAACCTTTTTGGATCAGCGTACCCCTGGCAGCCAGACACGGAGTAGTGTACTCCTGGTGACCAGACGCAGGGCAGGGGGCAGGTGTATGTTGGGGGGTGCACAGCCGAATGCAGAGGTGGCAGCTGCTGCGTGCGAGCTTCCCCCACCTGCCGCATCTAACTAAGCAGCAGTGTGGGATAATGCATGGCAGCGCTCTGTCCCCACCTGCCAGCACATACCCCCTACGTCCTTCTCAAGTACCCCCTGCAGTAGGTTGATAAGTGAAGTTTGTAGGTTTGTCTGCAAAAAGTATTTTGTAAATTCCATGTCAGGATTAGAGCTGAGAGACTGGAGAGAGTGGTTGTCTTGTGAAAAATGTGCCCCCCACAGGTAATTGGGTATTTTTGTCTTTGATAGATTTTTGGCGTGCGTTCATTCTGGTATCCAGTTGCTGTTTGGTTTCTCCTACATATTTTCTATCAGGGCATCCAGTGCACTGCATGCTATATATTACATTTCTGGAGGTGCAGGTGTAAGCTTCAGGAATGTTGATGGTTCTGTTGTGAGTTGTAGTTCTTGTGAAAGTGGTGATGTGTTGACAGGTTTTACACTTCTTGTCATGGCATGGTTCAGATCCATTTGGTGTGTTTGGGGCCATAGGAAGTTTGTTTCTGGTGATGAGGTTGGCAAGGTTCAGTACTTGTTTAAAGGTTAGGATGGGTGGTTCTGGAAGATCTATTTAAGAATTGGGTCTTCTCCTAGTATGGGTTGCAACTGTTAGAATTTTCCATATAGGTTCCAGGGAGGGATGAGGGACGTGGCATGCATGAAGGGAGAGGCAGAACTCCAGGAACAGACCTGTGGCAAGTTGCACCGTGGCACAAATGAGGAGGCTGTCCATTGGAAAGCAGGATAAAATGGCCCCTGATTCATCCAGGGGTAATGTGGCCCTCTCAGGGCAGAATTGTAGGCTGCATCAGGTGTTCTTAAACCAAGAGATCTTTGAGTTGCCATGGGTTAAATTGTCCATGTCTCCACAGCCTCAATGGGGATAAAACAAACCTATATTTTAAATATTGATCCCCAAAGTCTTCATAAACTAAGGTCCTAATCCTGCTGGCCATTGTGTCCATAAGGAAGGGCTGTTCCTATAAGGGTTTTCAAGTGTCATCCTAAGCAGCCCGATTCTGAGATGCTGAGCACCTGCCACCTTCCATTGACTTTCATGGAAATCAGAGGTGATCACAGCCTCTGGGCATCTTTCAATATTGAGACAGCAAGAGAGAGAGAGACAGAGAAAGAAAGTGTGCACACACATATATGCACCTGTCTACTTTTACTGCAACCAGACTATGCCCAGAGAAAAGTGCTAGTCCGTGTGGATACTGGTTTCGGAACCAGGCTTGAGGCCAGTATCCTTAAAGGGACTTGGTAGAGACCTCAAAGTGACCTCAAAGTGACTCTCGAAGAGACCTCAAAGCGAGCAAAACGCTGGCTTGCATCCATAGATGCTTTTCAAGCAGATCCCGGGACGTCATTTTCCCGCTGTACTCAGCCTTGGTGAGGCCGCAGCTGAAGTACTGCATCCAGTTTTGGGCTCCATAATTCAAAAGGGATGTGGAGAAGCTTGAGAGGGTGCAGAGGAGAGCCATGTGCATGATCAGAGGTCAGGAAAACAGATCTTAGGATGAGAGGCTGAAAGCAATGGGGTTCTTCAGCCTGGGAAAGTGCAGGTTCAGGGGTGATCTGGTGGCCACCTATAAGTTTATCGGGGTGCTCATCAGGATCTGGGGGAACGTCTGTTCACCAGAGCGCCCCAAGGGATGACAAGATCAAACAGTCACAAACTCCACTGTGACCGATTCAGGCTGGACCTAAGAAAGAACTGCTTCACTGCCCGAACCCCCAAGGTTTGTAATAGTCTGCCACCGGAGGCAGTTCAAGCACGCACTCTGAATGCCTTCAAGACACATTTGGATACTTATCTTGCTGGGATCCTATGATCCCTGATGACTTCCTGCCCCTGGGGCAAGGGGCTGGACTCAATGATCCTCTGGGGTCACTTCTAGCCCAAATGTCTATGAAAAATCTATGAAAATCTATAAAACCCTAACATCTATGTATCTATGAATCACTGAGAGCCATCAGATGATGCTATGACAGTCAGGAATGCAGCCAAACAGAATGTATATGAGCAGTTAGATATTTAAAGACATGCTTTCCATTAGTTGTGGTGCAGTTCTTTTGAGAAGCTGAACATCTCCCCTCTGCCCCCCACAATTGGGTTTCTCCTCAAAATCTCTCCAGCTGAATCATCTGTTAGGGATACAATCAGTTGCTGCTACCTGATTTTACCAAGCAAGTATGTTGCATGGTGTTGAAAGCTTTACATGCAACATCTCTGTTGTGCCACACAGAACAAATCCAACAGTAAAACATGTTTGCATTCAAACCCATTATATATTGGATCCAAGGGTCCGGGGGCCTTCCAGTCAGCCCCAAGGATAGGAAAAGGGACCTCATTTTCCTAACAGCTGCAACAATTCAAGAAGTATACCACAAAGCAAGTTTGAGGGAGAAGGACAGGTGTCTTTCACAAAGACCATCTCAAATGCAGGCAGAATCGTATGTCTTTGCCAAGGGCGGTGGTTAGAAAGAAACTGCTTGATTATAAGCATACGACTATGCTACCAACTCCACCTTAAACTCTTTATTTTAGCAAATATCAAAAACTGATTTTTTTTTTGTTAGGAACCAGAGCGTGCCCAGAGCGTTCACTGCACATGCCTTCCTTATCATCACAGAGGAGTTTACATACAAACCCCTCTGCCTCAAGCACACAGTAATGAGTTAGCAAAAAACCAACCAACCAAAAATCAGTGAAACAACAAAAGAGGAAGTCTGTGAACAAAGGTCAAGCCACAATTGCACGGCAAACCCTGGGAATAATGGAAAATTATTGCTTCAAACAAGGGTTAATAATTGAGCTATCATGAAAGTTTAAAATTTTCCAACTTAAAAAAACTAGAGACAGGTCCAAGCCAGCATCCCAGACCCACTAAACCTTGTAGTAGTATTATTCCAGCTCACATCCACTGGCAATATAAAAAACAGAACTACAGAGGTAGGGTGACATGAAGACACACAGTGGCTTTGTATGTGCTTCAAAGAAGCTACCTAAATACAGGCTGGCTGTATATGCAATTCTGAAAAAGCCTTGAGCTCTTTGGGCCCATTTCTCAGTGATTCGCATGGTCTTCATGGCTTTGAGATCATCACAGAAGATGTAGATGGTTGTGAAAAGGAGGAAGAAGCCTTATTCCTTGGGAAGTAGTATCTAATGAAAATGGTCAAGGAATACTGCAACATTTCAGGCAAAACATCTAGCAATGGCATCAGTAAGGAAGGTGGGGTTATACTGGCCAACTTTCTAAGTTTTAATCTCTCTCTCTACATTGCTGACTGTGGCTCTACACAGCAGGTGCATTTCTGCCCTGAGAAATGGCAGAAACAGTCTGAACACTTCCTATCCTTGGCGAGCTGGGAGGAATGCATTGGGTCTGGTCAATGAAGCATGCTTGTGCTTTCTTCTTAATCTGTTCATTTTGTTGGCATCTGAGCCAGTTTGGTCAACGCCTAAAACTTTACTATGAACTTGGCATGTTGCAAGCAGCCCAATGATTGTTAGCAGATGACCAGGCACTGGTCCAAACACATACTGACAGATGCATGGAGTCATATGGACAAACATCAGCATCGTCACCACCTGGAGTGCTCAGGATTCCATCTGAATGAGTGTAAAATTAGATTTCAGATTCATGCTATTTTAAACTGAAATGTCAGTGCATGATACCCACACTGGATCCACCAAGATCTTTCAATGAACAACCTGGATTTGTATAAACAAGTTACTCTGACTTTGAGCCAAGTCAAATACACTTCAAAGGATACACAAAAGTGGGGATACCCCTTACAGCCAAATATTTTCGGATGAGCCGCTCGGTACCATACCAGTTAAAACCCTTTGTTGCATGTCCAATACGTGGGAGATGGACACTTGCTGGCAGAGAGAGAGAGAGAGATTGGAAAAGTTCTTTGAAGCCTGAGGCATTAAAAAAAAGGATGTGGAATAAATGCTACGCTCCATGACTGCAGAGATGCCTTGGAACATAATGTTCCACTTCCAGTGGATAAATCTGTGTCTCATTCTCTTTGAGGTGACAGCAGCAGATGAGACGGAAAAGGCCTGTTAGACCATCCCCTCTGTGACCCTGCCCAGAATCCTGAGGTGGAATTTCATGCATGGTTCTTGTGGCATATCCCCTGCTAATGGCATGGGTAGATGCATGTACGCTTACCATTCCTTTTCTTGGCTGTTAAATAAATCTTCTTCAAGCCCTTTTCCAAAGCAGACAGCTTAATGCCAGACAAGTTGTTGGAGCAATCCCGGTGCTGTGCTACAATCAGGGCCAACTAGGGAAAAAAAATATGGGATGGAGACAAGTTGACAACAGACACAGAGAGCTGCTAGAAAACAACTGCTTTAACTGCCTTATAGGCCCAAAATACTTGTGCTCTCTTTCTTTCTTTGCTGTCTTTTATCTTTTTTTTTCAACCCAGTCCTACTGTTCGGGGTCACAGTTATTCTGAGGAAGACATAGCATCCACTTTGTATTGTTTCAAAAATATTTCAGTTAGGAGAATATCAAAGGGGGTTTTTATAGTTACCAAGTCCTGTCCTTTATTTCTGGATTCTTTATCATCAATGGGGAATAAGAGGGTTCCTCCCAAGGCCAGGTCTGCCCGAAAAAACAGAACAGAATAAGACATTCAATCCCACAGAGAACCATGGTAAGTCTGCCTAACAATAAATGTGCCACTGCTGTTTTGCACTCTTGTATGCAATTGCCCTTGATACCAGTCACACAGGCATGTCAACTCTTCCCCCATCCTCCATAATTTTCTTCAAATGGAGTAGTGAAACAGAAAAAAAGACTGAAAGAAGTGTCAGGAAACAGAATACTACAAGAATAAATCCTTTGTTGAAAAATAATCAGTCTCCATTAAGATGCATGTGTTCTTCATCAGTGATTTAACATGGCTTAAATTTATGATTGTATAGGTGCACATAGTGGCTCAGTGAGATGAAGCCCAGCTCCTACTTTTCAAAGCATTTAGGCACATGAACTGCAGACTTAGGATACTGTCTTAATCCAAGAAGGAATCCCTTGACTAAAGAAGCAGATATTTCCCTGGGGAATATATCACAAAGGACAGACTTCCGTGGGGAATTCTTTGCCCCCAACGCAGAAGTCTAGGCAAAGGGTCTTCCTGCATTATCCCTTCTGATGCTAGACACAGAAAGATCCAGATGCAAAGCAAAGACTGCCAGTTTCATGTATGGAAGTCCCCAATTTGCCAATACTTTGGTGTGCCTAACTTCCGTAGGAATTAATGAGAGTTAGGTAACTAAACGTCTTTGAGGATCTGGGCCAAAGGTTGGGCTTTTCTCTCTTACCTTTCATCTTCCCTGCTAGTTCGTATATTTTCCTGGGCTGATCAGAACGAACCTCCAGTGCTGTAAACAAGCCTCCTCTTCCCCAGCGGCCAGAATCATCTACAGCAAAGTTACAATTTAGATTCCTTTTATCTTACACTAGGGTGCTGTGTCTGGAGGAACACATTCCCAAACAAGTCCATGCAAATAATGACCTCTGCTGGGAACAGCCCCCCTCTCACCTAGCACTGTGGGTATTGTTAGAAACCGCTGTGGGAGATGAACCAAAGTCCATCTGTGCCTCAGAAAACAGAGAATGTAAGCCTAGAAGACAATCCCTGCTTGACAGCTCAGGAAACAGTGGGGAGTTTGTTCAGATTTCAGCATGATCTACAAAGTATAACCTCACAGGTCTGTTTCCAGCCCAGCTGGGTGAGAAGGAAACTTTCTGAATGAGACCCAAGGCAGATGGGCCTTAGTAAATCTGCTGACAGACAAGACCAGGACTCTACTCACTCATGAACATTCCCCCCAGCTCCCGGTTTGATTCCCCAGTTCCCAGTTTGAGCCCCCAGCTCTCGATCATTCCCCCTAGCCCCCGTAGCTTCTCCTGGGGCCGCCAACACTGCCTGCCTTGTCCTGGCAGGGGGGCAGCAGGGGGAGCAGCCGGACAAGCCACAGCTTCTCCCAGGGCTACCGGCTCAAACTGGCTCTCGTTCGGTTGCTTCCCCAGTTGCTCCTGCCAGCACTGCCTAGTGCCTGCCTGTACAGTCTATGGCCGAATCTCCGAATTGATTCAGAGGCTTCCGATTTGATTCAGAGAGATTAACAGGTATCCTGATTTGATTCAGATTAGAAGATTCAGCCCCCAAATTGGGCTGAATCTCCTCTGAATCGAATTGGCTACTGAAGCTTTGCACAGCTCTAACCTACATCATATAGACAGGTGGTTTCCAGCCAGTACCACCCAGCCACCGCTGCACTTCAACAATTTAGCAGCCATGCTGGAAGGCACAATTCAGCCCTCCACTACTGAAGTCTGCTCTTGTTCTTGCCAGCCCTACCTATGCAGTGGACAACGATGGCATCCTCCTCTTCTGCTCTGGGGTGGGTAACATCACCCATCACATACTTGATGGCATTCAGATCTGGGTCTATGTAATCCAAATCCACATCTGGCTTATCCTCTCCCTCCTTAAATTCCTCCTCTGTGTCACTCTCCTCTGAGGGGAGGCAGGGGGACCTGTAATGATTTGTCTCCCACCACGCCATCCTGCAATGAGGAGAGATTAATGGTAGACCAAAGAAGATGCAAGAAAGAAGGCCAAATATCTTTCATTTTAAATTACGACTGCAATGCACTGGAGGCAGGCTCTTACGGTACAATGCTCAGACTAAGATCTGGAGTCACAATCTTCCTCTCCCTCCAAATTTGGGATGGAATTTGGAAGCGCCGCTATTTATGGTGCTAAGAATGAGGGATGAGGCTCTTGTGATGGCATACTTGCAAGAACATGGAAAGTGTGAGTCCAAAGGAGGGCAACAAGCTGTTCAGAATGGTACAAGGGGGTATAAGTAGGAATTATGGAGATGAAATTAAGATGCAGGCTCAAGTCACACAGCACAGACCCAAACTGATTTGAACTAAATTGGGCTCTCACTCCAACCTCCCCAAAAGTCTGTATATGTTCAGAGTTCATGTGCTTTTACAGGTCCCCCTCCATGACATCAAAAGTACCAGAGAAGTCAGGTTGGATGTTAGGGACAAGAATAAATGCTACTATTGGGCTAAAAATCTTTCAACATCTCCTTGTCTTGCAATTTCAGCACTCTCTCCAAAATATAATGCACCATGGTTCATAAACTACCAACATACCAATTTCATCTCTTCCATCAACCCACATTTTGAACGCCCCGTTAACTGCAAGAGCGAACAGTGCTTGTAGCTTTCTGACACTTTTCTGTCGTGCTGACCCAGCCAGCACCCACCAGTACACACCCCACACCGCTTTGTGGTAGGCAAAGCATAATCCTACTTTTTCTTGTGGGCAGCTTCTGCTTTCTTCCTTTTCTTCTCCTCCATGAGCCTTGTTCTCTTTGCTGCTGCCTCCTGTCGCTTCCTCCTTCTGGCTTCCAGCTCCTCTGGGCTCAGCACATGCTTCCTCTTGGTGGGCACTTCCCGAAGACCCATTAGAAGGACCTGGAGGAGGAGGAGAATCTTAAAGAAATGCACACTTCTCATCTTAAACTCTAATCAGGTTCCATCATATCTGGTGTCTCATCCTTGTCTAATCCCTTGTCTGCAGTGTCTCACACTCTCAAACCTATTTCAAACAGGTCACCAAGACATCAGATTCTAAAAATGCCTTTTGATCCCATGACCAAATGTGAACCAGTATCCTAGGCACAACTATCTGATCAATTATCAAACCTTCTGAGTCATCCAGTCCAGAGTCTAGTGTTAACCTCAAAATGTTTGCATCTGAGCCTTCAAGCATTTCCTCTGCAAGTTTTAGATAAAACAAAAGTGAATCCATCTGCCTCATATTCCATGAATAATTTGCAGCCCTGCATGCTTCTATTTCTTTCATCTTACGTTTGCCGTGTTTCGGAGGGCTCTCCCTTCTTTACTGGTCTCTTCCAGAACAGCTTTCTGAAGATCCAAGAGCTGGTCAAATGCTTTCTGGTCTTCCCTGCTAGGTTCTTTCGAATAATCTTTGCCTTCATATAGATACATATGATCTTAAAAAAAAAAAAGATAAAAGTATATAATAATGGGTATGTGGTGAGAACAAATGTAACATGACTGACATTTCTAAGAGGGAAAGGGGCTATTGCTGAGATAGTTTTGCAAGGAAAGGTGTAAGTATTGCACTGAGGCAAGAAAAAAATTATCTCTGCCCAGGTACTTGTCTTTACCCATAGCAAGTTGGAACTTTCAAGTAGAATTTATACCAGCCTGCACTTACATTTTTTTTCTCTCACAGTTATGCTGGTTAGGAGCATGCTTAAAAGAAAGATCACACTTTTTGCTGACACTGCTATAAAGGCAAGGTAGAGACATGGCAGAAAGCTCTTTTCCTAAAGACCTCTGGCCCGAATAAACAGTTGCTCCAGTAGGGGCTTTGCCAGTGCAACTCTGCCTATACAGCCCCCTGGTCAACCCTGTTAAGACAAGCCCTTTGTTTTGGGCTATCCAAGCATGAACTGCAACCCTGGCAACCTACAGTGACTGCTCATAAGGGCAGCCCTTTCCTCAGCAGTAAGATCTGAGCAATTACACTTCCTCCTTAAGTTTACAACAGAAACACTGCTGAGTGCCAACGACTGGCAACTGGCAACCCCTGAATGAAACACAATGCCCATTCTATCTGGCCCTGTGTCTACAGAATCATGGAGGCCACAGCTCCTGTTAAGGCTGAGTTCTTTTAAGCAAAGATTCAAACTTTGTGCTGTATCTTTCAGCAGTAACACTCTTAGTGATGCTCTACAGGGGAATATATCTTTAAATTAGTTTTCATCTACTTTTGGACCACAAATGCTAAAAAGTCTGACCCATAACTGCATGTGTACTGACTGGCATCACAACAGGGCAGATTAAAAGTTGTCTGGGTACCCTGTCTGCATTTGTTACACTCACATGTTTGGATTTCTTTAAAATGTAGCCTTAACTAAGTATCCTGTGCTTATAGCATGTGGTTCAATACCGTTGCCTGATTCAAGAGTTTGGTTTAACAGTTAAGAAACCTGTATGATATTCCTTAGCCTTATATTACTGATATGGACTCACTACCCTAAATGCCATCTTAAAATAGTTCTACGGAAAGGAATAAAGGCTGTTTACAGACATTGAATCAGCTTTAGATAAAAGCGCCAAAAAATCCCGCTAAAGTGCCCAATCTATACAGACGCTGTGGTGCCAGGTCCAATTAACATGTTACTTCTTCTGGAAAAGTGCTGTTTTGGGGGGGTTTTAAAGGTCTATAAGCAGCCAAAGTTTATTAATAGTGCACAGCTTTATCTTTCTCTAATGACTTTCCTTCAAGAGGCTCAAGGCCTTTCAGACACATTACTGAATTTGGCATTACCCACCCCATGAGGTAAATAGTTCTCATTTTAGGCAGGGAAATGAGGCATGGAAAGAGAAAGGCAGTGATCATAGGGCACAAATCCAATCCATGGAATAGCCAGAAATAAAATCCCAGCCACAAACCCATCTTTCTGCTCTGCAAAGTTGCACAGAATACCATTGCATCTCCTTGATGTTTTCTCTAACAGTTTCTAGACTGCTGGGTGGCCCGGGCACCTTCAGATCACTGAACATACTCTCCATATCTTGCTCCTCATTTTCTTCTTTGCTGGGTAGCACCATATCTGTGATCCACGCTCCCCCTTTTGTCTCTCCAAGGATGTTTCCCAGGTCCACCTCCTGGATGTTGCTCCCCTCAGAGGACAGCAATTTATCCAAACCAAACTTCAGGATTTCACTCAGCTGGGACAGACAGAAGAAGAAATGCATCATTATTGTCCTCACTCTTCATACCATTCCAGGCATACTGTGTTTCTAAGTTTAGAGGCTGACAGGATACTGGAGGGGGGATTAGATCCTTAAAATCACCTGACAAAGTATTTATGCTAGCCCAGGCAGTATCCTCCTTTCTCTCTTCACCAGCTATACACCAGATCACTGGACACCCCCGTCAATAATAGTGATGAAAGCCATTTAGCACAATAGGTGCACTGTCAGACAGTTCACAGACTCAGACAAACAACATTGCCCTTGATTACATCCAAGGGGTAACCCAAAAAGCCCCAAACTTTCTGAATGTTAAGCAAAAGCTTGGATTTCCACAGAAATCACTTGGGAACAAAGTACCAGCAGGGCCTATTCCTGGATTTGTGCTCACACCAATGTCTCTCCTGCTGAAGCCACTGCTGTTCAGAAAGGTTTGAAGGACAGACATAAGGCTGGAACACATACGTGTAGATTTTTTCCTGGTTTCACTTCACATGGGGTTCTCCTCTCATTACAGTTTCACTTTGGGACCTGACTAAGCTCAAAATGCTTGAGGCAACCTCAGCCTTAGGTTCCTAGCTACAAGTCATTCCCTGGATTCCTGGAAGACAGCACCTGCTCAGGGGGAGGCTGCCTGAACAGTTTGCAAACATAAGCCAGGTTTTGGTTTGGCATCAAAATGCTGGCATGGCAGTTATGCTTGTCAGGGAGAAGCAGGGAAAAACAGATCAGGTGTTAGAAGCGGTGATTCAATTTCCACATAAATGAACATGCTACCTCTCAATTTCTTTTGCCTTCCTCTGCAGCACTGATATGTCGGCTACAGCTAAGGTTGCAGTATGTTAGGGGGTGCTGACTGGATTGTAACAATGCATCTGCTGATAGTTAAGCTCAGAGGTCTTCTGGCTGGAGGATCTTATTCTTCCACTTGGGGTCAAACCCATCACCCAATTTGGGGCTAGGAAGGAATATTTCTCCTAGGTCAGGCACACACTGTAAGGGGAGGGTTTATTTTTGCCTCCTTCTGTAGCCTGGGGTGTAGTCCTTTTCCTAGGATGTTCTGAGCATCTATTAACCAACTCCTTCCCTCTCCCTACAGTGGTTGGGCATGGCAGTGCCCTTGTCTCCTCTGCTTTTATATTGTCATAGGGTGCTGTTTGTATTTTAGGTATTGTACCTTGTACTTGTGTGTCAGTAAAGTGGCAATTTTAGGAATTTGTTAACAGTTGCCTGCAAATGCAAGGGACTGAACTTGATGGCCCAGGAAGCCCATTCCAGTCCTATGTTCCTAAATATCCAAAATAACAAAAATAAAAGACAACATCTGCAGAAAATAGGTCCCATCCTTCAGATGGGGTAACCTCAGCCTCATGTAACAGAGCTCAAAATTAGGGCCTCCCTGCCTCTGAGTTCCACAGATGCTTTGACCTGAGTTTGGTTTGGTCTCTAACAGAGATGCTACCAGCTCCTAGGTTCTAATGCAGTCCTCCCTAGAGACAAGGCCAATGCTATTAGCATCCCCTGCAGTGTGGGCTCATTTTTTACCTGCATGTCTGCTGCTGCCTGAGACTCGAGAGCTCTGAGAGCAAACTGCCCCCCTTCGATAATGGCATTCGTTAGTCGGAGCTTGGACACCGCTCGTCGGTAGATTATTTCTTCCACGGTGTCTCGTCCAATCAGGCGGATAATTTTTACAGGCCTGGTAGAATGTCAGAGAGTCAGCTGAACTGCTGATGTTGCTTTAGGATAAGGGACCAAAGTGTGAGGCCACCCCTGGCCCAGTCCCGTTACAAGCAGCTTACAGCAGCAAAGAGAAATCCTGACCCCTCTGCAACCAGAGGGAAGAGGAGGGGACACTGCAGAGAGCAGCTGGCTTCCAGTCCAGTCCTCCACAACTGCAGAGCTCCTGACTCAGGAGGCCTAGGGAGGATGGGGAGTGCATGGGTTCAGCAAAATAGGAGGGCAGAACCATGCCAAAGACAAATGGCTCCCCCTTCCCGCCCGCCACTCCCAGGAGTGGTTTGCTTAGCTCTCTTCTGCCAGCAGATATGAAGGTGAACACTGAGGCTGCAACACTGAGGATGGGAAGGAACAACCGGGTGTTGGGGGCATGATACAGAGCATAGCAGTCATTCCTCACTTGTTCTGACCAATCCTGTGAGCTCTTCCGATGGCCTGCAAGTCATTTTGTGGGTTGAAATCACTGTCGACAAAAATAACAGTATCTGCAGCTGTCAGGTTCATGCCGACGCCACCTGAAACCAAGAGCCCAGAGAGAGGGGATTGTCAGTAACGTGTGATACTCGACAGAAAAGAGGGAGAGCAGACTGGTGCTTGCTAGGAGAGACTAAATCTGTTCTGACTAAATAAAAATAAACCCAAGTTCCACCCTCCTCTCAAAGCTAAAGTTGAAGCTTTTATAAGGATCCAAAAATTTTGCTCAGTTTGTTGAATGATATCTTCATGCCTTACTCTTTATGTTTCTAGGTTTCCACAAAGACCCCAAATGGAACTGTAGCACCCTCTGCAATGAAGAAGAGAAAGGACTTGGATCTTGTGAACATAAAAGGGCTGGTTTGCTGAAGCTATTAGACACAAGACAGATCCTATGATACTTTCCAGCTGGAAGACAAACTACTACAGTCTGGACTGCTTAATAACCACACAAAGGGTCTCCCTAACCCATGGTCTGGCCTTAGCCTGGAAAGGATTTCTGGTGATGATACTACAGAAATGTAAGGAAACCTCACACCCAAAGATTACAGTCCAAGGGCTGTGGAGGGTCTGGATACTTATCCACAGCAAACCTTTTGAGGTTTTCCAGTCACTCATTTTTGTTTGTTTGTTTTTCTTTATAAGTAACAGCTTTCATGGAACAGAAATACAATGTGAACTAAAAAAATGTAAAGTTATTCTCAATGGTGTCATGTACTGCAACTAAAAAGCAGGGATATGCTGAGCAGCATTTCCTCCTACCCATGCCACACACCTTCGTTTGTAGTGTCCATACCCTCCCTGCAAACTGAGAGGCAATCATACCCTGAAATTCTCCACCATTCACTGGAGCAGGGATGGAAAGGCAGATGTTTGACCAGATCTAATGATTGACTTTCAGGGTGTAAAGGGCCTGACCAGTTTGGGAAGGGATTGCTCAGGCCCGGGGGAGGACAAAGTGAAAAAGACTTGCATACATGTCAAGAGGAGCAGAGTCTGGATCTTTGTTGGGATGGAGAGCAGGGAGGCGAGGAGGTCTGGAAAGGGTTCTGTTTATGAGGTAAGTGTGGGAGAGATGTATAGGAGAGTGCCAGGAGACATTCTGCAACCTACGGCACTGAGAAGTGGAAGACACCCATACCAGTCTGTTACTGGCACATGGCTGGCATCTGCGCAACATAAATGTTAGTCATATTCTGTAAGATTAAACTGGCAGTGGGACAATACCGCCTTCATACGAAGCTGTATATAAAAAAAGAACCAGCTGGGTTGCACTATAAACAGTGCATTTGGCATCAGCTGCAGAGATGGTGTGTGGGGAACTCAAGCTCCCACCAGTGGATGAAGAATTGCCAATAGCCAATGCACACCACCTAACGGGGCAATTTTTAAAAAGAAAATCCACAAGACTTCTATTACAGAATAAACAATATTTTCTTAAAAATGAAATGGTTAACTATAGTGGCTTTACTTCCCTTTAAAGTCCCCATTTGAGTATTAAAATTGATGTTTTCCACAGAGTTGAGGCCTTCCCAAAGTCCTGTTAGTCCCTACATACAACCAAAGGACACTGAGGGGCTGGGACTTTATAACTTCCAGTTTGGTCCCTCCCCCATCCCTCTCCTTACCTGCCCTGGTGCTCAGCAAGAAAATAAAGATGGGCTGTTGACCAAAGTTCCTGATGGCAAGGTGCCTCTCCTCTCCTCTTACAGATCCATCCAAACGCTCATAGCTGTAGCCTTCCCAAACAGACAAAAATGGCAGATGCTGAAGACACTGCTGTTCTGACTCTATTCCCCTGCATGGTGCTTTCATTTTCGCCAGCCCCTCTCATCCCAACTTTCTCCTCTCCATTGCTTCCCCAATTCACGTGCTCCTCTCCCCATCCCCAACCCACACCTCAGAGTTTTCTGGGCTCTCCACAGAACTCACCATGGCAGCCCCCCTGTAGTTGATGTCCTCCTACTCTTCTACAGCATTGTTCCACTCATAGTTTCTAGCTCTGTTCTCACCTCAGAACCAGGGGGCCAGTGTCTGCTCCAGTAACACTGGTGTAAATCAAAATAACTACCTAACCTTGCCGGAGCTACTCCAGATTTACTATGTATAGAGGGGAGTAGAGCTGAAAAATGGAACCAGAGACTCTTAGCTTTGAAACTGCTGCTTGGAAACAGAATGGAGAAATCCAGAGCCAGTGCAGAAAAGTGGTGGTGCACTGACCTGTTGCAGACCAGGTCCCTTTGGGCCACTAGCACTAGGTTATGGACCAGTACATACAGGCCTCTCTCAAGCAAACTCCCACTGGCTTGAATGAGAGTTTTGCCTGAGTGAGAACTCCAGGATTTGACCCCTACTTGGTGTTCAAATGCAGCCTTAGCTGTCTACTACCATAAATACAAAACAAAAGGTTGTTTCATGGGAAAGGCTCAGTGAGCACTAAGCCAGGTAAGTGCCAACAAAAGAAAATGTCTCATATGTCAAGAATGCTTTTGGTAATTAAATCTGGTTGCTAAAATATGGAATGGTCCTGCCTGCATTTGCAGTAACAGAGCTTCTAAGGAAACTAGCTAAGCATAGCTAGGTGTCTTGACTTTTAGTTAATACACACTCAGTGTAGCTGCTGAGTGCAGTAGAGTCCATTCAGATTTGGATCGGCAAAGCCAAGACCAGAACATAGGGCCAAGTTCTAAAACACAAGGCTCCTTCTCAACTAGAGAGAGCGTGGGGTGAAGTGTAATACATCATGCTGTAGTGTGAAGCATATACCCACAGTGTTATCACAATATCAGGATGTGTTAATTTAAATTCAAGCCCTTGGGCAAGTGGCTGCAACATCCCTGAAAGTAAGGAGTGCTGCACTCAGTAACACCCAGCTTCATCACAGTCCTGTGACCACTGACTTCAGTGCACCAGGTTTATAAGCTGTCCAATGCAGTAGAACAGTGAATCTCAGAATACCTTTGTTTGTCAGCCCTATTTTACAGATGACAACACTAAGTCACAGAAGCAGTCATTGCCAGAGCAGAAATCAGGGCTCTGGTTTCCTACCCCCAAAAAAATGCCTGCTAATTAAAAAAAGTCCTTGTCATGACTGTCCCTTCTCTGTCATGCAAGGATCAGCAAAGGACAGCATAGCTGTAGATGATATAGGATCATTTATGACAAGCCCTGTGCTCCAAAAGCGCATGCATTTCACCTCGGTAGTCCATGTAGTCTTGAAGAATATCGAGCATTTGAGTCATCTGGGAAAAGAGCAAGACACGGTGGCCACTGCAAAATAAAGCAAGGTATCACAAGCCTTAGTGTATATTTTGTAGTGCTTTGCAGAAGCAGAGACAGTTTGTATTCATTTCATGAAGATGTATAATTAAGCCAAGCATCCTAAGACCTGAGTCTCCTCATCTGTAAAAGGACTTGCTGAGGTGATACTGAAAGTCAAGGATACAACTGGGGTCAGAACTCAATGGTCCTGATTCCCAGATCTGGGCTCTAGACTTTATACACTGGTGACCCTTTAAGTCCATTTATGCTGTCTAGTATCATATATGATATTCAAAAGGCACATAGGACCTGATAACTCTTGTGGCACAGAAACAGACACACTTGCTCTTTCTTCCCTCTTTGTTGCTGTATAATGGAGAAACCTGGCGCCATTTTGGAAGTTTCACTTTTGCTTTGCCTTGTCTTTTTCAAGCACTGCCTGAGGAGGCTGTCAGAAGAGCACTGCATGCCAGGTGAGATGACCTTGTTTGGTATTGCGATGAGTGGTGGGGGAGTAATTCACTCACAACCTGCTTGAAATTTCCAACAGAAGGGTGTACCAGTTTGCTAAGCCTTCTTCTGGGAGGTAGTGAAATAGTCTCAGACAACAGTTACAGATTCTGCAGCCTCCGAAGTTCAGATCCAGAATCTGGGACCAGACTTGAATCCCCAAATTATGAAGTATTTATACTGACTTTTTCTTTGTCTAAGTTTTGGGTTTTCTTACCAACATTACTATTTTTCATTCTGATGATGCGGTTCTGCCTCCCAGGCCCAGACAGGCCTAGTGCCACAAAGGAACAGAAACACTGTGACAGTCTGCCCTCAGGGAACCCATGATCAAACCAGACACCTTGAACATCATGTAAAACAGTTGATCTCTCAGGATTCCCAGCCCAACTTTGGCAGCTGTTTGGATAAGTGTAGGGAAAGAGCCAGTTTTGGGGGTTCTTTAAAGAAAAGCTTTAAATTATTGTGCTTTCTCTGTCATTCCTAACACAGCTGCCACACTCTAATTAGTCTAATTAGGACTATCACTAATCATCATTAAGTAACTACAGCATTCATTTCATAGTGTGCATTAGTCATGAATAAAAGAGGCTGTTTTTATCAACAAGGCTTATCTATATTCCTCAGTCTTCACAGTAACACAACGTACCCAGCATATAAGAAAGAAAGGAGTTTATCTAACAGGCACAGCTTGCCGCTGGCTTCGATGAGGTGGTCTCCAATTTCAAAGGGCTCTGGCTCAACACCTGGAATAGAAATGAGCTTTAGAAGCAGTGCTAATATTATAGTAATAATTAACATCTCAAGATCACCCCCAAATTACCCAGATGTCACCTACAACAACGTATTGCACAGCTGCTGCCAAACAGACCTAGGTATAACCCAGATTCCTGCTTCTAAATTGGTGATGCTTTCCTGTCTGTTGGGAACACCAGAATCATGATTCCATGACAGAAACAAACAGTGTGACTACACTGCTTGGAAGAAGAAACCAAATACTTGCAGATCCCAGATTCTTAGTTTCCTGAGAATATGAGGGATTGCAAACCAGCTGGGGATATATAGAGCTGCAACGAACATCTGTGTGGGACCATTGAGGCATTTCAGCTGTTTGCTGTGACTTTTATATCAAAATGTACCACTTCTCTGATCAGCTGTGTGGGACCTGCTGTTGAGCTCCAAATGAGCGGAGAAGCAGTATCCTTTGATGTACAAGCTGTGGCAAACATCTGAGCAGCTCTTTCTTACTGCAGAAACCTACTATGAACTAAGTAGGAGGTGAACCACCTGGATACAAATTATCCTGATTCTACTATATGTAAGCAAAACATGTGTAGAGGTAAGATTGAAAACTCTGCCCCCTTTTCAGAGTGTTGGAGTGATATTATAGCCATGATGGTCCAGGAAATGTGAGGGGCAAGGATTTTTGTGGGTGTTATCTTTTACTGGACCAACTGCATGGTTGGGACAGATTTAGACAAGCTTTTGAATACAGTGCATTGCATTTGAAAGTCTGTCTAAACCTATCCTAACTATGCGGTTTGCCCAGTAAAAGATACCACCCACAAAAATCCTTGCCTCTCTCTTTTTATTCTGTTTTGAGTCAGCTAACATGAACTGAATCTCTTTATACTACAGTCTAGCAGCACAAGACAGGGGCTTCGCTCAACTTCTAAGCATCAAAGAAAACGACCATATTTGAAGAAACTTGATTCATCTGCTAAAAAACACTTGGTTTCATGTCAGAGACAGAGGAGGCCTCTCTCACCATTGAACAGGTACGGGTGGGCCACACATTTCCGAAGCTGAATTAAAACGTTCTGAAGTTTAACTTTCCTCCCTGCTTCGTTTTCAAATGCATCTGAAACGGGGAAAGAAAAAATTAAATGGCAAACCAGTTCAGCAACATCTCTGAGACTTTGTAACAGCAGTGACTGGAATTACTTGCCACTTGGTCCAACTGAATGTTTGAATTTAGGCTCTGCATTTAACATTCTCCCTCTTCAAAGACCAATGGAATTTCCTGTCATATTTTCAGTCAAATATTTGCTCACTTTGGCAAAGGAAACATTTGAAAATGAGACCACAGTGGAAATTTCTTCCCTTGTCTGACCACTTTGTTTCTGGACTCTCCTGAAGAACCTGAGCCCTTAATGACATTTTTATAATGGCCCATGAATTTAAAGCTGCCCAAATTAACACAATGAAGCTGCAGTTATTGGGTATAACTCAGCTGCCTCTTCCAAGGAAACCCAATGCACAACTGAGACCTGATGTAAGAGTTCTGCTCAGAAGGGCCAGTAACCAAGCTGGGAGGGGGGCAGAAGGATGAGGAAGATGTAAGCTCTACAAGGGTATGGGAAGCTTTGCTGAGCTTTGAGGAAAACCCTTCAGGTCTCGGTCCTGTTGTCTCAGCTCCCAGGCACAGGGAGATAAGAAGGGTGACAGCCAGGAGAGTGAATGGTATTGTGAGGGAGTCCTCAGGGATTTATGGGGATACAAGGAGCTCAGCAAGGCTTTGGGGAACCTGCAAGGGGGAGATGGATGAATGAAGCTGGGAGTGGGAAGGATGGTCTGGGGCTAGTACACTTTCACTCTGCCCAGAAGGTTGGCACAGAAGGTCTCCCTGATCCTGTGACCATCTCTCTGATGCACATGCACAAAGCAGTATCACAGGACGAGAGCAACAACATTGATTAGAGGTCTAGAGAACGTGACTCATGAGAAAAAGATGAAAGAACTGGGATTATTTCTTCTCACAAGCGTGGGCCAGTACTGGAACAGATCACCTAGAGAGGTGGTGAAGGCTCCAACCTTGGAAGCATTTAAGGGGAGGTTACACAAGCACTTGTCTAGGATCGTTTAGACAGGGATGATCCTGCCTTCAGCAGGGGACTGGACTAGAAGACCTCCCAAGGTCCAACCCTATGTTTCTATGATGAGCTGAGCCTTCTGCACAGCCCTGGGAGTACCAGAGTACCTCCACCCTTTCACTAATACACCATCCTGACAGACACATGCACATCCACAGAATGTGTAATGGGATGTTCACATATGAGAGAGCAGGACATCAGTATTAGGTATCAACATCTGGGAGTAATTCAGTATCAGCAGTGTGTCCCTCATGACTGCTTATCTATTAAAAGTGAGAGGGATGTGTTACAACAGTGAATGGTCTGAGCATTTGGCTGGGTGTCAAAACACACAGATGAAGGATGGCTTAACAGGTGAAAAGAAGATATTTCTTGAGATCTTGAATTGCAATTTATTGAAAGGTTGGCCCAAACAAGAACCTTAGGACTGACCACACCCAAGCTGTGGAACGGTCCAGAGTCAGATCCAGATGCAATGGCTGGCTCTTATACTGGACCAAACCAAAAATCATAGGTCCAGACTGCTCACAGCTCTGGAAGTTTTTGAATAACGAGCCAAATGCTGAGGCTTAGATTGATCCCAGGGGTTAATACTGCTTGCTCATCAAATGGCATCTGAAGATTGAACTCAACCTTTTAATTCAGGGCATTTTACTATTGGCTAATGCATCCCCCTTTTCAATACAACAGTACCTGGATTTATAAGAGGGAATTGATTTTGCTATTAATCACACCAACAGGTCCCAAATTCCCTTGTTACCTAGGTCTTTCATCAGAATGGCCTTGTAGTATTTTCTCTGCAGGGCTGACATCCCATGATATAGTACTACTTCTACCTTCTTAGGTAGATCTGCAGCGACTTCAGCTTTCACCCGCCTGAGTAAAAAGGGCTGCAGGAGACTGTGTAGTTCTTTGGCTGCATGGCGAGGGAAAAGTTGTAATCAGTGAATGCAAGTAATCCATCTCACACTTCATTTCTGTTTATGAACATTAATGGTAGCTCACAACACCTTGCAAGATGGCTAAATATCTTCCTGGCTTAGAAGCAGAGTATTTTATGGCTCGCTGCTTACCTGGCTTGCTCTCCGTTTCGATCTCATGGTAATACTGAACAAACTCATCCACTTGGTCTTTAGGGAAGATGTCAGGTTCAATAAAACTGAGTAGGGAGTACAGCTCCTGGAGACTGTTCTGAATAGGAGTGCCTGTGAGCAGCAGACTGAAACTCGCTGAAAACTAAAGCAAGCAAAGGCAAAGGAAAATGATGTTATATGCATTAAGAAAAGGAACAACACACAAAGCTGCTAACGCACTACTCTTCACACAACTAAAAATCTGGCAATTATAGTATCATAGTAGCTAGGGTCAGGAGGGACCTGATCAGGTCATCTAGCCTGACCCCCTGCCACAGGCAGGAATGAATGCTGGGTTCACAAGAGCCCAGACACGTGATCATCCAACATCCTCTTGAATTTGCCCACGGTAGGAGCGAGGACCACTTCCCTGGGAAGTGGGTTCCAGTTTCTGGCCACCCTAACTGTAAAATATTGCCTTCTGATCTCTAACCTAAACCTATTCTCCATCAGCTTATTACCATTGTTCCTCATCACCCCAGGTGGTGCTAGGGAGAAAAGGGCTCTACCTATTTGCTGCTGATCTCCCCTGAGGAGTTTGTAGGCAGCCACCAGGTCCCCCCTCAGCCTCCTCTTGCTGAGGCTGAACAGGTTCAGGTGCCTCAGTCTCTTCTCATAGGGCCTGTCCTGTTGCCCTCTTACCAAGCAGGTGGCCCTCCTCTGAACCCTCTCAAGGCAGACTACATCCTTCTTAGAGTGCAGCGCCCAGTACTGGACGTAGTACTCCAATTGCGGCCTGACCAATGTCACATGGAGGGGGGGTATCACCTCTCTGGGTCAGCTCGAGATGCATCTTTGGATGCATCATGTTCATCTTGGAGTCAATAATGACTCCAAGATCCTTTTCCGCTACTGTGCTTTCAAGCGGGGGAACTCCTCAGCCCCCTGATGTCATGGGCTACTAAGTGAACTTTCCCTGGAGTTTGAAGGTAAAGGTAGCTGTTCACAAACAGCAAGGGGATTGTGCTAGTTAGTAGAGGAACACTGCAGAACTCTCTGCCCTCTGTGAAAGCCGGCAGATACAAGGGCTGGAGTCACCAGCAAAGAGATTCTCCACTTGCCCAGACCTGTGATCAGAAGCAATTCCATTAAAGTGAATGGAATCACAACAGTGCAACAAATGCAGGCTTAAGGAAAGTGAAAACAAAGCTTAAAGATGGTGCCATTATAACACTGATCTGTCAAACTAGACGTGACTATTCTATGTCAAGTACAACACATGTAATGCAAAGTAACATGAGCTGGTTCAAAAATTCTAGGAAAAAAAACGCTGAGAGCAAATTACATAGTCTGCCCTCCTCCCCCCATTTTCTGAATGGCTCTAACGGTGTTGGTCTTTATCTGCACTTCGCTATTTGCAGAAGCCCCTGCCATACCAACATTTGAGGAATACACTTAACACTGTAGTACACTTAATGCAACAGAAAACTCCCATACGTTCAGTAATGGGAACACGTGAGCAGAATGAAGGTGTGATTAGGTTTATTTGTTGACATGAAACTCCATCCTTGGAGGTTTTTAAGGCCTAGCTTGACAAAGCCCTGACTGGAGTGACCTAGTGGGGGATGGTCCTGCTTTGAGCAAGGGGTTGGACTAGATGAACTTCTCAGGGCCCTTCCAACCCTCTTTTTGTACAATTCTATGATGAGTGAACACTCCTGTACTAAAATCAAATATTCAGGAAATGTTGGGCATATTCAAGTCTTGAATGTTCACAGTTCTCATAATGGGGCAAATTCTAACCTGGAATACTAGACAAATCCAGGCAAACTGTATTGACTTCAGCAATGACATGTGACTTAACCAAGGTCCCACAGCAAGATCTGGGAAACAAAGTTGAAGAGTTGTGGCTCGTGGTCTTTTGCACCAATCACTAGACAAGACTTTCCTGATTTGCACACAAATTCAGTCCTATCATAAGAAAGCAGGGCTAGAAGGCACCTCATGTGGTCATCTAGTCCAGCCCCCTGCTCAAAGAAGAATCATCCCTGACTAAACCATTCCAATCTAGTGTCTGTCCAACCTGCTCTTGCTCTTCATGATTCCCAAGTCCCTAATCATTTTTGTCATTGTATGCTAGATTTCCATATGTGCCTATATCTTTCTTGAAGTGTGGGACCCAAAACTGGACACAGTACTCCAGGTGAAGCCTTACCAGTCCTGAATAGAGCAAAATAATCTGCAAGAGGCAATCCTGTTAATACAACCCAGGATTCTGTTGGCTTTTTTTTTTTTTTTGCAACAAGAGCACGTTGATGACTTGTATTTAGCGTACGGTCCACTTTAATCCTCCAGTTCTCTGCAGTATTGCAGCCAAGCCAATTATACTCTTGTCTGTATTTATACATGCAATTATTCTGTCCCAAGTTGTGGTAGCCAGAACCAGAGGGGTTAAATCAAAAAATATATGCTCTTGGAAGCATCTGGTAATTGTCTAAGCAGTTTCATAGTTTCTAGGTTTGGAAGGGACCTGAGCAGATCATTGAGTCCTACCCCCTGCCATGGCAGGAAAGAGTACTGGGGTCAAACGACCCCAGCAAGGTGTACATCTAGCCTCCTCTTAAAGACCCCCAGGGTAGAAGCCAGCACCACTTCCCTTGGAAGATTAAGTTAAGATTAACTAATGCAAAGCGTGTCAATTTGCAACCTGCAAGTGGAATTTGTCTGTCACAATTTAACCAAAGTGTTGAATCTAACTGTTTGTACTGATCATGGAACCACTGAGCCCCAAAAATAAGCAGAGCTACAAGATTAGCTGATCTAACAGGTTTTTTAAAGGTCAAGCCATAACAAGATCTGACCACCTAATATAATTAGCACATTCCAAGGAATCCAGGAATAAGAAACTAAGGGCAGAGTAATGCTAATTTCAAACCTCAAGTAATGTGGTGTAATTTGCTTATTGGGTGAACACAAGTTTGGGCGGTAACCTTTCATGATAATTTCTAGCACCTTTTGATCCCATAGGGTAACAGCTTTAGGGCAAGACTGTGAGTGGCTCTAAAGCCAACAGATTAGCATAATAAAAGGAATAAAGGAACGTGCATGTCAAGTGACCAGTTAGAAGGACGGGACAAAAGGACCATCGCTGTACCAAGCCTGGACTCCGGATTCCCAGTGTGACTGAGGACTGGATCCTGACCAAGGGGCCTTCCCAGTGACCCCTTGGACAGCAGTGATCAGGGACGCCTGACTTCGCTGGAACAACTTGGCGCACACCTGGCATAGAGGGACCGCCAATAAGTTGCCAACCCCATGTGGGAATTCTGTCTATCTGTTGTTATCATTCACTATTAGCTCTTTATTACTGTACTATCTGTTTGTTACATTAACCTTTCTGTTAACTGTTGTATGCTAAGCTATAAGTAAATTTGCCTTTACTTCACTCCTGAATTGCCTCCTCAATCTCAAATCCAGCAGCCTCATGGCTGATACACTCACAGTGCCTAGTCAGCCTGTGACACCAAGTGCAGAAATTTACACTTGTCTTTGTTGAATTTCATCTGATGGATTTCAGACCATTTCTCCAGTTCATTCTGTATCCTAGCCTTTCCCTTCAGAGTATTTGCAACCTCACCCAACTTGGTATCATCTGCAAATTTCATCATCATCCAAATCATTAATGTCGGTATTAAACAACACCAGACCCAGGACAAACCCCTGGGGAACCCCACTTGATAGCTCCTTCCAACTAGACATTGAACCATTGATCACTACTTGTTCAGCACAATGATCCAACCTGTTTTGTATCCTCCTCACAGTACTTCTGTTTAGTCTGTAGTTTTTTAGTTTATTAATGAGAATGTTGTGGAATACAGTATCAAAAACCTTG